TTGTAGAAGGACCGCAACCAGATAGACAGCGTAGGGGACAAGTCTTGCAACCCACTATGCTGAGTGGGCGCTATATCGAAATCGCGATTCGCAGATGCCATCAGAAGAGGGATGGAGGTAGGCAGTGGGACTTTGAGTCCCACGAGACGCAACCGTTAGTTGTACGTAATTAATTACTCATATGACGGACCACTCATATGCTGGAACATCAACAGAGGGCGCTGCGCGGACGGGCAATACCAACCACAGGACATACATCACCAACTGACAAATTTTCACAGGATTATGTGGACCCAAACATCGTTAAAAGAGCAAGTTTCTTCATTGATATATAATTATTTGGTAAATAATCCCATGCGTTTAATATATTTTCAAAGCTTAGTGTGGGATCATTATTATCTGCACTGCTTTCAAACATTTTTCCTACTACTTCGGAAATCAAGTTTTAAAATTTAGTTTTCCACACTATAAGCAGCAAAAAATTCAACTAATTACATTTCTAAAAATATAAAAAAAATATTGTTTTTTAATAATAGTACATAAATTTCATTTCTAAATCTTTATTAAAGATCTATTTCTTTTAAGTTTTTTATTCAATTCATTATTCAAATGTTAAGTGATGTAGCATAAAAACATTAAATTATTTAACCAATCCATTCATCAAAACTATGTTTTTTTTTGCTTTCAAAAAGAGCTTAATTTCTTTTAATAAAATGACACCCCGATTAAGAACTTGCCCGCAACAGAGCCATCAAACGTTGCTTCAGTCATTTCCTCTAATAATTGTACAAATTGTCATTTATTAAGACCTCTTGCGTTTATAAATTTGATAACTTTTATTACAATTGACTTTACATTGGAAAATGTTTTTAAACTTTGCTTGATCTTGCTTTCAATCACAGAATGTGTAATAATTTTCTTAAAATACTGGATAAAACCAATGTTTTCCCACTATAATGTGTGCACAGTCTGTTACAGAAATAATTTGTTGTAGGTCGACATCCATTTCTTTAAAACCAATATTAAATTCAACGCTTGCATGCACCTGTTTATGTAATAAAATCATAAAAAAAAGTTCATTAATTTTCGAGTTATTAACAAAAAAAACTTTATTCTATCAATTCATTCAATTTACTTTTCATCCAATTTCTACAGCTCAATGCAGGCGACTCTAAGACAGTACGAAGATTTAAGTGTGCTTGTTGGAAAGGTGAGCTTTCATATGATGATATAATTATTATACTTGAGGGGTTGTCGAGAAATTCACGAAAAACTGTAAAAACTGAAAAAAAAATACAAAAAAAATCGTTTCGCTATTACGTATAAAACGTTAAGTAATTTTTGTTACATAAATATAAAAACATAAAAATGTTAATTAGTTTTCGAGTTATTAACCAAGAACTTTTTTTTTCTATACATCAACGATTTAAAAAAAAATCTTTTTTTTTTCAAATTCTACAGCTCATACTGCACGACAGTAAGTGTGCATGTTGGAAAGGTGAGACATTCAGCTTTCCTACGATTGGTCAACGATGTAATTATCTTAAGGGGTTCTCGAGTTATTAATGAAAATCACTTTTTCTAATCAATTCAATTCATTTTTTTTTTCCAAATTCTACAGCTCGTAGCAAGCGACTCCATGAAAGTACGAAGATGTTTGTAGGCTCATTGGTAAGGTGAGTCATTCTGCTTTTATACGAGTTATCGATGCTGTAATTATTTTAAGGCGTTCTGGAGTTATTAACGAAAAACGCTTTTTCTAATCAATTCAATTCATTTTTTTTTTAATTTCTACAGCTCGTAGCAGGTGACTTGAGGAAAGTAGGTCTGATTCTATGTTAAGTGTTACCCGACGCGAAGATATTGATCTGCTTCTAAATGGTAATTTCTAAATTGATGACATTGTTTATATTATTTCCTCTTTTATTTGGTTCACACGGGAATTTTGCGTCAGTAAATAATGATAACGTGCAACTCTATCTTACGAATACTTAATATTTCTCCTCTTTTTTTAAAACATCTGTTTCTAAAATAACATTGCAATATATTTTATTCTCCGGTACTATATCAAAAGATACATTAATTTAGCCATATCTATTTGCAAAATGACTTAACAGTACCCTCAAACTTAAATGTTGCTCCGTCAATTCCAGCAATCGTGATGTAATTACTTTTAGTTATAATGTTTAGTTTAGTGAGCGTAATATCGCGAATCAAATAAACTACAATATTTGTGACCCGGTATCAACCAACGCTTGTATTCCGTCTATTGTTACAGGGCACATATCTAATTTGTTCGGAAAAGTATTTGTTCACTCGAGAGACAGACACAAGTGTTTGTGTTTTCTTGAATTTTGTGTAAGCTTGAAACAATTTTCCTACAAACGTCTTTTATCCAAACAAAACATAGAATAAACAGTCAGTTTCCCACATTGAATAGTGTCTCAATTAACATTATCATTTACGAATTAGATGTAAACATTTGGACAATTCAATTTATAAGTTTATGCTTAAATCCAACAAAAATGGAAACAACGAGTTTGATCATAGGAGCGTTTAATATTATTTAGCGAAGAATCGTTAAGATATCATCGCCAAGCAATTTTTCAACACTAAAGGCGGTTTATTACAACTCTCTACAACTAATAACGCCAATCTGCTTTATAAAACGATACAGCATTGAATAAAACAAAATAATCGGTGGAGCTCGCTCAATTCGTGCAAATTAATTCAAATTACAAAACCCAGCTCACGCTTGACAAAATTAAATTATTTTCCATTGTATCAATTATTCGCTATAATGTATATAACAAATTGATACAAAACTAGGCTTTCGTAATATATATCAACATTTCGTACGGAAAGATACTCTCACCGTTTTAGTTCCTTCGCAATCCGTCTAATTGAGATCCATTCGATCTCTCGGCAACACTATTGGATTGTCGATGTTCACACACAAGGATTTCGCTGGAGTTTCACATCTCAAGAAAAATTTCCTTAATTTGTGTAACGGAGTTGTATCCCACTTCTGATGTTAGAAATATGGTCAGGGTGTCCAGTCAAACAATAGTAATAAGGACTTTATATTTATATAGTAAGTAGTATAGTCGGCAGAGCGCGCTATAGATGTGTTAAGCTCGGTATGCGGGCAACATCTGTCGCTGGGGGTGGCTGGGGGCCAAAGACGCTGTGTAGTGGCATTGGATCCAGTCTTGAGGCCAAACGAGCTGAGAATGCGCAAGCGCGTAGTTTTGTTTACTTTTAAAATCGCTGATTTCTTTACTTTCAACAATGCCGATTTGTTTACTTTTCACAATGCAGATTTATTTACTTTTGCAAACGGCGATGACTATTTTTGGCGCCATTGTTTCAGAAACGTTTGTGATCTGTGGTACTGTGTTCCTTAACACTTTAAAATGTCTATTTCAGGCTTCTTTTGCTCTGTTTGTGCAAAAACATATGTAAACCATTCAAATTTAAGTACCCATGTACAATTATTCCACCCTGGTAAAGTATAAATTACTATTTGTTGTCATTGTACATTATTTAATTTATTTTACAGATCAGCTAAATGAAATTGCACCAAAAAAAAAGAACTTTCACTGTGAATTTTCTACAGAAACTTTTAAAAACAAAATTCTTTTCAACAGACATCGCAAGGTTCATACCTCAGGACTGAAATGTCCTTTATGTGAAGTTATTGATGTCAAACCGGCATTAATTCAACATTTTACATTGGTTCATAATGTAAATATCAATATTGAACAATATGATTTTCAAACAATTGAAGAGTTTAATAGCTGGAAGGAACAGATAGAACAAGAAAATACAGTATTATTTAGCAATCGACATGGTACAGTCAAATCTACTACATTTACCCGGAAAAGGTACGAGTGCCATAGGTCAGGAACATATCAAAGCCAAAGCAAAGGCTCAAGACATGTGAAGATTAATGGTTCAAGAAGATTGAATGCGTATTGTCCTGCATCCATAATTCTTGATTATAGAAATGGTATTTATAATGTTAAATATACTAGTACCCACATAGGACACACAAATGAATTGCGTTATATTTCTCTTCCAAAGAGTGACAGATTGATGTTGGCAGGTAAATTAGCAAACATTTTGTTACATTCATTTCCAAGAAAATTACAATTTATTATTCGCAGATAAATTGGCAGTGAAAATCCCATTTGAAACCATTATAGAGGACATTAGAGGTTCTCTTCAAAATTCGAACTTGGAGCGAATTCATCTTGTCACAAAGCAGGACTTAAGAAATATAAAAAGGAACTTTCATTTAGGTAACTCTGCAATTCTAGATAAAAATGATGCAGAGAGTGTAGATATGTGGGTAGAACAATTGACTAGCGATGACTGCATCCCTTTTTATAAAAGGCAGAATGAGCTTTCTTCAGAATTCTCTTTCCTAAAGGAAGAGGATTTTGTGCTGATTATTATGAAACCAGGACAAAAGCAAATGCTCCAAAGATATGGGTCAGACTGCATATGTGTTGATGGAACCCATGGGACAAATGGTTATGGGTTTCAGTTGCACACATTATTAGTGTTGAATGATGTTAGAGAAGGATTCCCATGTGCATTTTTAATATCAAATCGGTCTGACGAACAGGTTTTGGCATTATTTTTTTCCTCCATTAAGGTCAAATGTGGGTTGAAGATAAAGCCAAAAGTGTTCATGTCAGACATGGCTGATCATATTATAATGCCTGGGTGCAAGTTATGCATCCACCTGAATTTAGGTATTATTGAACTATTCATATGGTAGTAACTAAAATTTATTACTTTTTAGATTATATTGTACTTGGCATGTGGAGCAAGCATGGAGCAGAAATTTAAACAAAATTAGTTCTAAAGAGAAACGGGTATGTATAGACTGGAAAAGTTCTAAAACATTCCAATATTTATTAATTTTAATATTTAGGACAGTGTAGAGAAGAAATTAAAACTTATTTTAGAAGAAACAGATGTAGAAGCATTCAAGCGTACGAGTACACAATATGTGGTACAACTGTTAGAAGATCAAGAGACCAAAAAATTTGCATTATACTTCCAAAGTAATTATATGAAAAAGACTGAGACTTGGGCACATTGTTATCGAGTTAATGAAGGCCTAAATACAAATATGCATCTTGAATCAATGCATAAAACAATTAAATATATGTATTTAAAGGCTAAACACACAAGAAGGCTGGACGTATGTATACACGCCATTCAAAAATATGCCAATGACAAATTGTTTGACAATATAGTCATGGGAAGTAAGGGGAAGATCACTTCCAAAATTACGAATTTAAGGCACATACACAAGGACAGTGAAAAAATAGACCTAGGAACAGTATTAATTGAGGACAAAGGTATATACGAGGTTTTTACTAAATCGAACGAAGTATTTACAGTTCAGGAAAATAACAAGACATGCTCTTGCAAAATATACTGCAGCATATGTGAAATGTGCATGCATGCATATTCTTGTACATGCAGAGATTACAGTATCCAATGGAACATGTGTAAACATGTACATTTGGTACAAAGATACAGGAAGGAATATCCAGAGTCCCTTCCAAAATCAGAAAAAATATGTTCGGGTAATTATATTTCAATTAGAACCCATCATAGTTCATTATTTTATATTTTATTTCAGATGATGAAAGTGATGAAGACTGTGGGCAAACTGACATAACGCCTAATTTAGTCGATTGTGTCAGCAAGAAGGAGAAAGACAAATCATGCTTGGAGCATAAAAAAAATATTATTGTCAGAAGAACACGGGTAGCCATGCAAAATGTTTCTGCAGAAGTGTTGGATAAGGCTAGAAAATGGATAGATTTATTTGAAGAAGAATGTAATCCTAAACAAAAAAAAACTGCACCTTCAACCTCTGCACCATCAACCTCTGCATCATCAACCTCCTCTGCACCATCAGCACACAATAAAAGAATTATCCCCCAAAGGAGGTTGTTCTCCACTAAAAAAAGAATAATAAGCAGAACAGAAGAAAACAAAGAAAATTTAGGTATTTTATCTTTTATCAAATGCTGTGCAATTCAAACCAATTTAGTATTATTGAAGAAGACTGAAGACAAAGAGTTATTTAGTTTGTTAGTATTATTTTTTATATTATATTTTTGTTATTTTTTCAAATATATCCAATTATTTATTTTGATGATATAGGTTCTATTTTTATACTATCACTTTGAAACGAGTCAAAAGGGGGTTAGGTTTTTTTTTTTNAATCACATAAAAACAATGTAGTGATATCGGTATTTTCATATCCACTCTAGTGCCATCTGTTTGAGAAATCTTAAAATATTCTGATTCCCCCACCCCCTTTTTTTTCACCAAAAATAAGCTGTTTTGGTCTGACGCAGGGAACGTGACTGATAGGAGTGTCGTCGTCAGAGTTCACATCGAAGGAGTTGAAAAGAGCATCAGTAGAGGGTATGTGCAGGATTCGTTTTGTGGGCCGTTTATGTGGAACAGTATGCTGGATGTGCATACAGTTTTCAGGAAGTTGGTATCTTATGATTGCATATGACCTGGCCCTGTTGGTGGAAGGTATGCCAAGAAAACAGAGGCTGATATAGAGGATTCTGGATTGGGCAGGTCAGGTGGGTGTTAAGCTTTCTCCTAGCAAGTCTGAACTTGCTTGATGTGCCTAGGCGATCAGCCACCTGCTGTCAGGGTCTATGAAAAGTCCTTGCCCATGCACATAGGTTAAATACCTCAGCATTGGAATTGGGACAGCCATGCGCTTCACGATGTATATAGAATAACTGGCCAGCAAGATCTATAATATAGTAACTGGCTTCAAGCATGCACTCAAACAGCTAGGGAGGTTAGGATTACCATCATGAACACTATGGTTAAGGAGTGGCAGGATATGTGGTATGCTAAGAAGAACATGATCTAGCATAGAGGTATCGTATGTGTGGCACATGCTTATCGACTGCCCAATATATGAGATTGAAAGGATAGTAGAATGTAGGGTAGATGGAAAAGGTGTTGGTGTCCCCACTAATTTAGTGTTGAATGATTTAGATAAACTAAGAAAAATAAGAAAGTTGAGACAGACTGACCTAATATTGATATCAAAGATTCCAATTATAAATCCCGCAAATGTATACCGAAGACGCAAAAGGACAACAAACGATCACCCCTGAGATCAAATATGAGTGTCAAGTGTCAATCTGAGTGTTCTGGAGAAGGTACACGCTAAGGGTCGCAGCATTCCGTATGCAGGGAGAGCCAAACTACGGCTTCAAGAGATGCAACTCCATTCAACATTGTACTCGCATCATAATTTCTGCTGGGTTTGCCTAAAAAATAAAATGTTAGTCTCTCTCATTGGTTAAGATGGAAATTAATATTTAAACCAGTGATTCCCAAAGTGGTCTATATCGATCCCCAGGGGTCTACGTCAAAGAAAAAAAAATTTGGGGGTCCACAGTGATTCCCAAAGTGGTCTATATCGACCTGCAAGGGGGTCTATGAAAAAAAAATTGGGGTCCACGATAGTGGATCTCAACATACACTGATAGTACCTATTTACTTACATTATACTATCTTATAATATAAAGACATATACATTATTTATAAAAGTACCTATGAAGTAAAANTATAATATAAGGACATAGACATTATTTATAAAGGTATAAAATTGTGTAAGTTGTAGGATGTAGGATGTAGGCATTCGCTTTGTACCTATGAAGTAAAAAAAATATTATATATGTTTATAAAATTGTGTAAGTTGTAGGATGAGGCATTGCTTTGTGTCGCAATACATTTTGAACTTGTAAAAACCTGCACATAATGATATACCAGATCTTAATAATTATAAAGATGTCCCAATATAAATAATAAATTTACAAAAAATCAATATCAGGTAAGTAGAGGGTCTTAACCGAAAACGAAAAACTGGCAAGGGGTCCCGACACAAATAAGTTTGGGAACCTCTGATTTAAACCATATTATCACAACAACTAGCACTCCAAATATTATCCAGACACTAAGAATCATGGGTAAGATAAAAAATTTCAATTTATATTTACCCTTATCTTTACTGCGCATAGCACTAATTAATGTTATCCAGGCCCTAATTATCATTACACTCAGTTTGACACTATCATCTTCGATCTCAGGAGTAATCGTTTGGAATCTTTGATATCAATATTCCGTTTAATAACTCTGCCAGAACCAAGTCTATTGTGATGACTTGAATAATTCTTATGGGTGAGTTTTCTAATTTTCTGTACCATCTGTTTTTGCGGCGCCGAAGTGTATTGCTCAAGAATGGAGATTCTGAAAATTAAGGAAATTAAAACAATGCCTAGCTACACATTTTATAAGAACCTTTTTGGTTGAGGCACTCTCCTGTCCTCCAACTTCTCTTTTCCATTTCATGATCAACATCACTGGTTGCATTGTAATATTCAAATAGGGTTGTTGTCGACTTGCAATGTTTCCTCCTCAACATCACCCATATTGTCTGCCACCTTCAACTGAAACAATATTGTAATTGTTGTCAAATGAACTTTGAAAAAGTAATTAGTTGAAAAGGTCTCTAGTATAGTCGGATACCAAAATATACCTATAAATTCGGTTATAAAACAAAAACGGTTATAAATCAAACATTCCTCAATCACCAATCCTTAATCAACCAACCAATAGAATCATTTGCTTTCCGTTCAAACCCTGCCACTTCTCATTTCATTTTGTTGCCTCATCAATT